GCAAAGGTCCCTTCTCCCTTTAAGAAAGCTGCCTTTTGCTTGATAAATGTCATCCAGTCTACCGATGTAGAAATTCAACACAGCAAATGAACCTTCTTTAGGTCCTAACAAGGCCACTAGCAGCTGGAACTTAGGGGTTGGTTTCCCAGTTTTCTTTTTGCTTCAGGTTTTGTTTTGTTTGTTTTGTGCTTCTGGGGATCACGCCCTGCCCACCATACTGGCAGATGCTTTAATTTATTTTTTAATTGACTTATACATAACTCCCTGGTTCAAGCAGTTAAAAAAAAATTGAATTTCTCCTACCTCGACACACCTATCATTTAGTTCTATTTAAAAAGATACAAATAGTACCTGTTTCATGTACACCTCTCTATTACACGCTATACCTACGGTGCCCCTCTGTGTATCGCTCTCCTAACAATCACAATGCAGACCGCCTTGTGCAGGCGTTCATGTACAAACACTTAGAGTTGAAGTGCACAAAGGTGCATGATTTTATTTGATTTTTTTTTTTTAACCTTTAAGTCGGTGAGCCATGCTAAATTTAGGGCTTCAAAACTGACCCCTCTCCCCCTGACCCAAGGCAACTGCCTACATTTCCCACAGCGGCTAGCCATCGTCCCTCAAACCAGTTTGTAACAGGACTTTTATAAAGAGCAGTTCCACACGGCACATTTCTAGAGTGTTCTCTCGGTTGGTCTGCCTGCCTTTCTGCACCAGTACTATTCTGACAACCGCCACTTTCAAACACAGTCACCCTCCTCCTCCCTCTCCCTCCTCCTAAGATCACCTTTAGTAGCAGAAGTGTCAGAAAGGTTGACCGAGCTCCCTGGTTGTTCCTGGCTGTGGCAGTCACTGTCGTTTTTCTCTTTATTTTGTGCCCCGTGTGTGAGCCAGCAGCGCAGAACACCGTTTCTTCGAAAGAATTTTTTAAAAAAATCTTTAAAGTTTGAAAATTCCCTGTGTACAGTTTGGTTATCCTTTCTTGCTTATTTCCACTTGTTTCTTTTTACTTTTTTTTCCTAGATATTTTTAATTTTGTAAGTAACTGAAATTCAACATCACTGTTATTTATCTAAATTAGAGCCTTCTAAAAAAATGGCAGCCACTTATTTAAGTCTTTCTGATGTATTTTGTGTTTTACTTTTCAGGAACATCTTGTTAAGAATTCTTTACGAATTTTATCAGGTTTTTGTTGCCATTACCAGTGACATAAACGCTGTAGCTGGCGTGAAAACTAAGTCCTAAAGAAGATTATGGAAATCATACGTAGGACATATGTTGGAAACCAAGAGAGGGGCTCATGATGTGAAGGAGTCCCACTAATGTTCTCTTTTAGGTGAATAATCACCCTCGATACATTTTTTTACCATAATATGAAAAAAAAATTGCTCAATGAAAAGGCATTGTATAAATCCAGAATGTCACAATTTTACTGCATGAAACCAAACTTACAGATGTCCACAAAAGACTGTATCAGTCATAGCTGAGAAAGGACTAACAATTATGTATAGATGTAGGTACTCAAGTCCAGACACTTTTTTGATGACAAGAGCAAACCAAACACACGGGTGTCTGTGGCTGTGGTCTGGGTCAACCTGCCAAGAAGCCTACAAGAGGACAGAGCCATCTAGTGGTGGACATAGGCATTGCAGCTACTTTGCAAGGCATCTGGTCCAGGAACTTTTCAAACTCGACTTTGAAGTCAAAAGTGACAATTGAAACGTAAAAGACGCTAAAGCTGAGTTTTGAACTCCACAGAGCTTAAAATACACTTTTAATTACATCATTAATACAGACCAAACGACCCTCCACGGAGTCCCACTGCACCAAGGTATAAAGTTCGTCTTACACAACGCTCTGCAATAGACCTTTGTATCCCAAATGACGAATGGCACGGCTTCTGCTTGCCAGAACGTCACGGATCAGTGGCCCTGAATAGCTCGTAACTTAAAACATAGACAATTAGCTACAAACACATGCACAACATAGTCACCATGTTTGTTTACATTAATTCGCAAGAGTAATTTTATTCAAGCCAATATGTATTTAATGTGAATTAAGTGTCTAATGAGAAGGGAGAGACATAACCCATTTCCCTCACTTTGTCTTCAGGCACAGGGTCATGCCTTGTCTGTCCAGGGCATGTGCCTCTTCTCTGATTGACACCCAGGTCACCAGTCTTACCAATGTTATTGTCTTTATAAAATATGGCTTTGTAACAGCTCTGAGGTGGAGCCTGCTTCCCTAACTCCAGCCAGAGACTCTCAGGGTCCCCTCTAAGTTGCAGTGAATTCTGCTTTGGCTTTTAAGACCTCGACGCTAAGGGTTTTCATCTTTTTGTTTTTAATAGTGCCAATCATGAATATCTCTGGCTGGGCTGACCGGCTATCTCCAAACATACTGTGTAGCCAAAGATAACCTCGTGAGGATAGCCTGCAGCCTTTAGGAGTGCCCAGGTTGCAAGCATGTGTATCCACAACGTTTCTAAGTAGTGCACGGTAACCAAGCAACCTACTAACTGAGCTGCGTCCCTAACCTGGTTTACAGATGGTGACTTTGAAAACTAAACATAGAATCCTGGAAACTGTCATTGGAGTGTGGGGGTCACAGGATGGATGAGTTGAAGGTTCTCGAATGAAAGCCTTGCCTCCAGTAGCTGCTGCCTTGTGACCTGAAACAAAACATTTGACCTCAAAGGGGTCATGTGTTAAAGGACAACGGAGTACTTACCTCAACACTTGGTCAAGAGGAGTACTTAAAATTATGCGGGTGCCAAATCTAACCCACCACTGAACCCTACCTGCTGCTGGTACTCTCCCTCAAGGCAACTCTTTCTGGAGGAGTGCTTTCGGGATGAGGGCCTCCTGGGGTTGTACTGGCACAGTCTCAACAGCTCTAAAGAATCTGTGACCATTCTTGTCTGTCTTGCCCTTTATCCCTGAGCAGTGATTAAAAAAAAAAAAATGCCCCAGCTTCAGTGCAAGGATTTTAAAAGCAGTCCTGATTTCCTAGCCCAACTGCTGTAACAAAATACATGAGACTGGGTCATTCATAAATGACAAATTATATTTCTCTAAGTGCTAGAGGCTGGGAAATACATAGTCAAGGTGTCAGCTGTTCTCATGAGGGTGAAGGAACCAGCTCCCCATTTCGGCAGCCATGACAGTCTAACATGTGCTTGCCTGCCTTGCCTTGGTCACTAGGAGGTCAGATGCTGGCCTCGTGGCAAGGAACCAATCAGAAGTTAGCTGGTGGTGCTATGCTTTACGGCTCTGGGTGTGCTTTACAGACAAGTGCACAGCAATGACGCGCAGAGCATAGCAACCACCCTGGGAGGGCCTATGGGCCATAACAACCAGTTGACCAATCAACACAGGGCAAAAACTGCAAGCCTGGAGGCACACCAATCCTGAGCCTGTGCTTACCCCTAGACACTCCCCTTAACGCTGCCCTGTAAGATCTCTATGCAGTGGCTTCTTGCCATCTTTCCCCAGCAATCCGCCATGGCGGGTGGGTGAAAGGTCCTAGCTAACATGGAGTTAGCTCATTAAAGCTGCAATAAAGCCTCATGTTGTTTGCATCAAGCTTTCAACTCTGCCTGGTGATTAGGTCATCGTGGTCCTGGGCTGAGATCCTGGGGGCCTGAGCTTCCTGGGGTCTTTCAAGGGCAGATCCCAAAATGGTGTCTTGTTGCTCCAACCCCAGTAGTGACAAATGTATCCTCACATAAAGAAAGGGTCAGAAAGACAGAAGATCACCGCATCTCTTAATATTATTGTATGGATTGTCTAGATATAAATTAGAAAGTGACTTTTCTTGTTCCGCCCTGTGTCTCACAAGAAGCAGCCTCAGGAAGGGTTTATTCTGTCTTAAGGGGACAGAGTGTCATGGAGAAAGCATGGCACATCACACTGATCTGTAGTCATGAAGCAGAAACATGCAGGCAGGGGGGCCACTACCAAACCTCGAGGCACACCCCTAGTGAGCCTCGCTTTCTCTAAATTGAGGCTGCATCTGCTTAAAAAACGCTCTGGCCTTTAGTCCCAGCACTTGGGAGGCAGAGGCAGAGGATCTTTGTGAGTTCGAGACCAGCCTAGTCTACTAGAGTGTGTTCCAGGATAGGCTACCTGCCTCTTCCCCCCCCGGGGTGGGGGGAAAAGCGGGGACCCACACCCCCCCCCCCCACCCAAAAAAAAAAAAAAAAAAAAAAAAAACCTTCAGCCTTCTAAAACCACCATGAGCTGGAGACCAAATGTTCAAGCCAGGAGCCTGTGGCGGACACTTGATGTTCAGAACACAAGATGAAAATATTCAAGCCATGACACCTGTGGCCTGGTGCCTGGCATCACTGTAGTATTTACACACAGCTCCTTCCTAAGCCAAGCCCCTTGACCCAGAAGGAAGAACCAGAGATAAATAAGATGAGTCTAGAAAACAAACTCCTCCTAGTCGCCAGCTCACTGCTGCAGCCTTGGGGGAGTTTCTACTTGAAGGCTCTCCGGATGTAACAGAACAAACAAGAGCAGGCTGATAAACTTTTGTCGGCCTAACTATCCCTCTTCGAGTAGGAAGAATGGGACCCTGGAGTGTCTAGCCCAAGCTCACATCTGTTCATATCAGGGCCGGGGTTCAATTTCCAATTCCAGTTTCTCATTCATTCCCCTTCCATACCTCAGTTCCGCCTGGATCCCAAAATCCATCACCCATCCAGGCAGAAGCTCACTGTCAAGCCAGAAAGTTCTCTCCCACCACAGAGCCAGGGACCCGGAGTGTCAGCAGAAGCCAAGCTCCCAGACTGAGCATATTTATTTGTTTAGGCTGGGCCTCCACCCTGAAGTGCTGAGTGAGAATGATGTCTCCAGAGCTGCCACATTCTCCCAATTCCAGCAGCCAGCATCTTTCTCTAAACCTGCTCTTTCCCCCTCTACTGATGTCTGAGAATCTCAGCAAGCCATTTCCCCCCACCCCCGACATACCCACAAGCTCCTCTTCAGATAAAACTTGGAGTGAATTAAGCAGGGCGTTGGTGGCACACGCCTTTAATCCCAGCACTCCAGAGGCAGAGGCAGGCAGATCTCTGTGAGTTCAAGGCCAGCCTGGTCTACAGAGTGAGTTCCAGGACCTGCTCCATAGCTACTGAGAAAGCCTGTCTTAAAAAAAAAAAAAAAAAAAAAAAAAAAAAAAAAAAACCCTCTAAGTTAATTCAATGTGGACAAGTTTGTTTTGTGCTGTGTCATGACATAAAGTATCCAAGATAAAGAAACCTTTGAAATCATTCTTCCGGATGCTTTAGGAGAGAAGGACCTGCAGGAGGCACCTCCAATCTCAGTCTCCCAGGGGTATTGACTTGCACAGCCGGCAGGACTTTCTTTGTGTTTATAATTACCCCTTTCACCATCAGGCCAACGTCTCTTGACAATAATTAAATAAGCTTTCTGAGGTTTTGGTGGTTCTTTTCCTCCCTGGCTTGACAGCCAAATGGCTTTTAACCATTTTGAGGGGTGGATATGCGGCCGATGCTTCAGGAAATTTGGCACAAGAAGGCAGGGAGGTCAGTCTCTCAGGTGACTGTAGACCACAACCAGCCTGCCTTGGTCAGCTCTCTCAGCTTCCCTCTGGCAGCCTCTTCCCTCCCTCCCCGCTTAGAGCCTGCCTCTGCTCAACCCCGTCCTCTCCTTAGCTTATCCATCTGGAGACCAGCATTCCAAACATGCCAGCACAGCCTGCCAATCATGATGCCGGGGTGGCTTGCTCTTTTTTGTGATCGGGCCTCCGATCTGGCTTCACTCCGTGATCTGGCTCCGATCACGTGTGTCTCTTCAGAGGTGTTACTGCTGCTGGTGCTGGGGACAACCTACACAGGTTCCTTCTGTCTTTTGGTGTAGACAGTGGTCACCCAGGAACCAAGTCGATTCCTATCTTTCACTAAAGTACCTTTCCTAGGAAGGCAAGCCCCTGCCTGCGGTCTTCAAATTCCAAGACCTCTCCCCTCTATTGACCCATAAACTCAGTGGACACCCAGACTCGGTGCAACAGGACGCCTGGGGCTATGCTCATGGCTTTGCCCCGGCCTGTGGCAGGTCAGCCCTCCCCTGGGGTGGAGCCACACCTGTGTCCAGCACTTAAACCTGCCTCCCAGCTGGAGCGGGAGTTTGGGCACAGTTCGTGGAGACCTCAAAGGAGAGACTCCTCCGGGCGGGTGGATAGATTCCCCAGCGCCCCTGGCCATGGCACCGCAGGGACGACTTCTCATCCGCGGGGGTCGCGTGGTCA